CGACTAGTGAAGTTGCCTGCATCCGGGCCCCCTGCTCCCCGGCAGCGCGGTGCAGACACAGGGGAATGGGGATCGGGCCCCTTTCCCGCTTTCCCGCCCGCAGTCCCCGAGCCGGCTTCTTCCCGGGGACCCGCCGTGAGACCCTGAGGGACCCGTCAGAGCCCCTGTGCTGTGGGCTCGAGGGCGAGGAGCCTCGGGCACCGAGAGGCCTGGCCGGGGGAAAGCCAGGGGGCGGGCGGCGCGCGGCTGCTCCGGACAGAGTCGGAGTCCGAGACGCGGTAAAGCGTGTAGGGCGGGGTGGGGTAATATTACACGCCTACAGAGTTTGAAGTTTCTAAGGATTGCTGATGTCTTGTAAATTTGGGCGGCAATTCTGTACTGGGTTTTGCTCCCATAGTGTTTGGCACGATCTGCTTACTTCACTTCTCCGAGGTTACACAGAGTTACTTAAAGGAAGTGACTAGTATGACTTGGGCATCAGTCTTGATTGATGATATCGGTCGCAGAAGGAAGTGCACTGATTACGCGTTTGCGGTATCCACACAGGGTCAGACTGGCCCCGAGGAACTCCACCAGGCTTCTCTGTTTAGAAGAGAGGGAGTTCATGCACTTGCCGCAGAGAGAGATGGCCCTTTCGGCCCCTGGGGACTACCAGGCTTGTCTATTCAGGAGACAGGGAGGTCATGCACTTGCCCCAGAGAGAAATGACCCTTTCAGAAACAATGGAGATTGTTAGGCTCTAATAAAAACAGTCTGGTTGTGGCCCGCGGATAAATTTCGTTTTAAACTTTTCTCATCTCTCATGTGATGCGAAGCAAGAAGACACAATACATGTGGCAATTTAATTTGTACAGAGAGACTGGAAAATACTGCTATATACCATCTTTCTCAGACTTTGGAAAACTTTTAACATAATGGAAACATCACAGAAGCAAGAATATAGTATATGGGAAATTAATAATATGGAGTCAATACTCGAAATATGACTGTGTTATAGCAGTCTAGGAAAGTCCGGAATCAGCGGGAAACTACCTCATGATGACAGTACTCTATACATGAGACAAAAACGGGAGAAATGATAAACCACATTGCAGATCGTGCACTTAGCCAGCACTAACCTGCTCCAGGAAACAATTACATAGGGGCTAAAACTTGAAATCTTTTTTTCCCTTATAAAGTTGATGAAATAGTCTCTTTATTTGGCTCTGTTAGCAGTCCAAATTTTGCTTTCAGACAAAGAACTAAAAAGCCACAGACTCCTCTCTTTCAAGCCTGCCCTTAGGCTCTATTTTAATTTAGTTCTAAGGAGCAGTAGGTTAGCAGTAGGTTTCTCTGCCTATTACCTGAGAAACTGGAGCTATGAGAGATGGTCTGATAATGAGATCATCAACTTTACCTCTGAGTCTTGGAAAGTGTTGTAAACTGTCTGATGTTACAGGCACTTCACTGTCAATAAAGTTGGTCTGGGCAGCTGCTGTTTTGGAAGGTGGGCTGGTTTCAGATTCTGCTTCTCTTAGGCTGGGAGAAAAGAAACAGAAAACATGATTACAAGAAGTATGGGCCTTTTGATGGTTGAATTCTGATTTACAACAGCAGTGGACCAACCAGCTTTCTAAATATCAATCAGAGAAGACACGGCTGATTTTTAGAAAAGGTTTAAGAAAAAGCAAAACTTCAAACCTACCTCTGTGCTAATAGTTTTAATAGATGATAATTAATATAATCTTTATGTCTGCATATGTTGGATTATTTTCAAAAAGTGTATTGGGTACATCCTCATGAACCCTGTTCTTTGTTTACAGGAGTGTGGCAGGCCACTATGTCACCCAATTTGGATCCTGGCTTCCCTCAAAGACTCTTACGGCTTTTGTTTGATAACCCTCTGGTGTAGCCAGCACTGCATGTAAATAAGAAATGTAGATAAAAGACTCTTGGTTTTGAACTGATTTTTTTGAGCCATGTTTGTATGTATGGTTTTTCTTTACCATAGATGATGACCTGAAGTGTTGGTAAACTCATTTTTACTACTTTCCTAACTATACTGCCCTGTGATGTTTCATTTCTCAGGTTATTTCTTTTGGCAAGATTTAAAGCTAAAAAGTTCAACATAATCCTTGTCCCTTATTTTCTTTCTAATGGTACAAGCAGTGAGCTTGAATGTAATTAGTGGTCTATAATAATTGGATTTTCACAATCAGGTAAAAAGTTTTCCCATAATCTAACCAGATTTTGCTCCAGGGCTCAATTCTGGTTAAGGATGTTTTTTATTTTCAATGTAATGATGAAATGTTTGAGTTGCAATATTGCCTTTATGATTATTCACCTTTTTTATCTAAAAAGGAAGAACAAAAGAAGAATAGTTTACAATATAATTGTATGGCTCCATGTTTATTTCATTCATCTCCTTCGCCTCCAGTTTGCTGTTGTTAATGATAAGAGCATCATTACAATTTCAGTTCAAATTATAGTTCTATAGTCTGTCATTGTAAATTGACTGTTTAAATTGTATCCATAACAGTGGATTATTTTAATCAAGCTATACAGTTTATACCCCGTGTAGTCTCTTAAGTCTGTTAAGTTGATATAACACATTAAAAAAAGTGGATATTCCCTAAATGAATTTCTGAAATTAAAAATACACACATAAAAACTGTCTTTTGTGTTAAACCATTTCTGTACATACTTACGACAAAGCATTTTGCCAAGCACTGTGTACCTATTCTTGACATTATGATAAATGTGCTATGCAGTCCTCTAAAATTAGAGTATTTTTTCTGCTTTTCATTAGTCTCTGAACTCTCTTGCAAGACGTAGATGGAATTCCTTAAGTAAAAGGTTTGACTTTGACATGAAATTAGTTATAGGTCAAATGTTATCTCCCAAAGCAATCATACAGGCAAAGATAGGTATATCATGGTTCATCTATGAACTGCTACCCTTTACCATTATGATGAATAGATACCACAATTTTAGACTTGCTTAACTGAAATTGGCTTTTTTTTTTCATTTTTGATGTTTGGATACAAGTATTCAGTTTTAATGTTAGGCAAGAATAATTCATTTTACATTTTTTTCTTTTTCTTTACCCAAATTTTATTATGAAAAATTTCAAACATAAAGTTGAAAAATTGTTACTATTTTACTATACTTGCTTTATCTATCCATTTACCCATTTATCATTTTTTTTTAAATTCATTTTACATTAATATCACATTGAATGTACACTTTCAGAATGATACACTGGGGTGGGTTAAGATATACAAGAGACTTGGATTCTAGCCTGGCTCAGTGACCTTGGGCAATTCACTCTTCTGTTTTCTCAGCTGATTGAAAGGTTGAAAGGGCCCATTCAATTGAAAGGTTGAAAGGGCCCATTTAATCCTTTAGTTCTCTACATGTTTTTAATAGCTAAAACTTTTTTACTTTAGCCCTTTAGAATAGAACTCTCTTTGTAATGACGAAATGCTCCACTGCCTTCTTGAATAGTGTATTAAATGTATTTCTCCATCGTTTGAACACCAGTATTGGGCTTTAGTACCCTGATACCCAAAGAGTGTGTTAAGAATAATTGAGTGAATGGAGGACTTTGCTCGTTTTCTGTTAGGGTTCTAGATTGTTGTGTTCTTGCAATCTTTTGTCTTTCTTTTTTCTTTCTTTCTTTTTTTTTCCCTCCTCTTAGTGGCTTTTAAGGTTTTCTACTGTCAAGTGTGAACTGCCATAACAAAGTACCACAAACTGGGTGATGCAAAACAACAAAACTGTTTTCTCTCTCAGTTCTGAAAGTCGGAAGTCTGAAACACGATGACAGCAGGGACGTGCTCCTCTAATGGCTCTGCGGAACAATCCTTCCTTGCTCTTCTTTGCTTCTGATAGTTGCTAGCAGCCCTTCACATTCCTTGGCTTATAGCTGCATCACTTCAATTTCTTCCTTGCTCTTCACATGGCCCTGTTTTCCCTGTATCTTTTTGTCTCCAAATCTTTCTCTCTTTATGACGATTTCAGTCATTGGATTAGGACCCACCCTAAACCAGTATGACCCCATCTTACCTTGATTATACCTGTTTCCAAATAAGGTCATATTCACAGATATAGGGGGTTAGGACTTGAACATATATTTTGTGGAGGACACCGTTCAGCCCACAGCAAGTGCCATGGTCTCTAGCTGAGCCCTCCCCGTTCCAAATTTGCTTCTCTTTAGTTCCTATGGTTTAGGAACCAAATAGCCAATCATGAGAATTGCACATAGACTGGATATTTAGAAACAGTGAGGCTCTATTGTATGAGTTTTAGTATATAATATTTCGTATTAATGTTCAGAGGTTATTTTTAAGATCATCATTATTTTGGAGTTCCAAGTTTGTGCCCTGAATATCAGTGACAAGTTACTATGTATTGTAAGATTTATCATCATATCAGCAAACACTTACTGTGTACCTGCCACGCTAGTTTAATGTGTATTTCCTGGTAGGAGACATGCTTCCAAATCTTTTTGACTGAAGAGAAGGAAACCATATATGCCTAAAGCTTTTGAATTTTTGATGGATGACTTTTTAAATTGCTGAGCCTAATCATTGGTTGTGTATGTCATTGTTTAGATATCCTTGGAGCTTTTGGATAATGTGACAGTTGGGATGCAGTGATGTCGACTCTCTGTCCACCACCATCTCCAGCTGTTGCCAAGACAGAGATTGCTTTAAGTGGTGAATCACCTTTATTAGCAGCTACCTTCGCTTACTGGGACAATATTCTTGGTCCTAGAGTAAGGCACATTTGGGCCCCGAAGACAGAACAGTTACTCCTCAGCGATGGAGAAATAACTTTTCTTGCCAACCATACCCTAAATGGAGAGATCCTTCGAAATGCAGAGAGCGGGGCTATAGACGTGAAGTTTTTTGTCTTGTCTGAAAAAGGAGTAATTATCGTTTCGTTAATCTTCGATGGAAACTGGAACGGGGATAGGAGCACATACGGACTATCCATTATACTTCCACAGACGGAACTTAGCTTCTACCTCCCACTTCACAGAGTGTGTGTGGACAGATTAACACACATCATCCGGAAAGGCAGGATATGGATGCACAAGGTGGGTGGTTTTGAGCTTATTGAGCATGCTCACCTTGCCCCTGAAAATTTATCTTCCAATGCATTTATATTTAATTTTTTTAAATTGTGTGCAATTAACTCAAATAGTAGCTATTATTTGCTTCTACTCTATCAGGTACAGATAGATCTAGTCTGATATCTGTGGTCTTTGTAATAACCCTGGAAGCTAGGCAATGACAGCTCCACATTGCAAATAAAAAGCTAAAACTTAGAGAAAGTAAGAAACATAATAAGTCTTAGAGTGTGAATTTGTCTTGGGAAACTTTGACTCTCAAAGCTTTTTCTTTCTGCATTGCATGACCGTGTCTTTCCCTTAACACTGTGTGAGGGTCTAAGCAGTTCAGAGCAATTGTTGGGTAAGCCTTTGACCATATAGCCTTTGGGCCCTTTAACTTCTTTGTCAAGTTCCCAAATTGGTAAAATGAAGAAATTGGACCAAATGGTTTTTGGGAGATAATTCCTTTTAATTTTGCAGATTGAGCTAAGGAAATTATTGTTATCCCCTAAATCCTGTAGTTTAATATATAGTGATATTTATATTTCCACATATTGTAATTTTGGCAAAAGAGAAGAACAAATTTAATTTTCCTTTCTGCTTTGCAGTTTGATACTAAAATGGAAGTCCATTAAAGCATTATTAATTTTATAAGGCTTTTACCAGATAGTAAGGAAAAATAGAATCTTTTAAAAGAAGAGTTTTTCTGCCTTGTTTGAAAGCTTGTCTCCTTATCTCTCACATGTTCATGAAAATCATTTAAAATCTGGAAGCCAGATTCCCTAGATTGCTTTTGATCTTATGTAATTTGGAAACTGCCAATCATTAGTTTCCTTTGTGAAACTATGCAGATGTTACATTGACTGTTTTCTGCCAAATTATCTGTTTTAACTGTGGACGAAAAGGGCATTTTTATTTTATTTAGTATTGTCTATGAGAGCATGGATTTGTTGGGTTAATCCTCCCCCACCTTTTTTTTTCTACCCTTAAGTGGAAAATATTTTTCCCATGAAGTAAATTACCCAAGAAGATGCCTGCCATTTAACTGTGTGGTGAAAAAGAAACAAGTACCAAAATGTGGTAGTTTTTTTTAACTTTAATGAATTTTCTCTTGCTCAGGAAAAGCAAGAAAATGTCCAGAAGATAGTCTTAGAAGGCACAGAGAGAATGGAAGATCAGGTAAGGTGCAGATTTCATACTATCAGACGCCACCAAACCCATGGCCTATGTCTCTATAAAGCTAAGGACTGCTCCTGTTAAGGCCTTGAAGACATATTTGTTTGAACACGAACAGAGCCTTTATGAGATACATGGAATAAACTGGATGAAAATTTCCATATCTTAGACCTAGAAGACTTAAATAAATAAAGGATTTTGGTAATTGCATCTATGAATTAATATTTTGCTACTTTTTTTCTGTTTGCATAGACTAAGTTTTGGATAACTTGTTCACAGTAAAAATTAAAAACTCTAAATGAGATTTTCTTTAAGGTATTGCTTCTCAAACATTTCCACAGAAGTAGCTGTAACAGGAGGAGAGTGAGTTCCCTAAAGTATCTGGGGGTGCAGGCACAGCTCTAAGTGTAATACTTCTTTGAAGTCTCATGCTGTATCTTTAAAACTCATGCAATTTACATTTTATTCTGTGATTTATCTATTTGGTTTAATATTACAATTTGCAGGTGATATTCCTCACCCATCAAATCTCCAGATAAAAGTATGCTGTTTTTCCCATGTCTTGGAACATCCTTGGGGAGCAGGCACTAGATTTTGAGAAGCATCATTTGCAAGAGTATGGTTTCCCTTATGGAAATTAACTGCAAAGCATTTCAACCTAGAGCAGGGAAATTCTGAAGGGGAATCCCCAGTGGAGAAAGAGCATTCTTTGCTGTTACTCTCATGGCCTCTGGCCACCCTCATTGCTCCTCTGTTGAAACTCCAATCTAAACAAGCCTTTTCCCTGTTCCTCCTTAGCATTCCTGAGACAAATGGTACTTTAAACAATGACTTATTCTAAAATGTTGTCAAAATAGAGGAACATAAACAAGGAAACTACAAAACCCTATCACACAACCTTCTTTATAATAATGTTATGTTTGTGCTTTTGTAAATAACTTTTACAAAAATCAAAAGGAGGCAGTTTGGGGGAAATGTTTGCCTTTACTCAGAGAAGCCAGGCCTTCATTTGCTGGTCAGTAAGCAGGGTGCCAAGGAACAGGGTGACTTTCACTAACCTCTTGACATAACTGCTTAGTTACGGAGTAATTAGTAGAGTTATCTCAAGATAAGAAAATCTAGGAGCCAGGAAAATTCTACTTTTGCAGGGATATTTTTTTTTCAAACTAGAAACCTATGCTTATAAAGTTTACCACCTAACATTTAAGTTTTTTTTCTCTTTTAATGAAGGGCTCTTTCTGAAAATGTTATCCTACCTTTTTAGTCAGGAGGAAAGTATACTTGGACAAACTGGAGGTCTTTAAAGGAGAAACATTCTCCTGCTGAGAAGTTCAAGTTGGAGACGTCCAAGGAGGAAAAAACAGAAGGAATTTTCTTTTAGAGCCTCTTCTGTGTTCAGCCTTGTGGGATTTTTTTCTTGTTGTTGTTAAGCCTCAATGAGGATATCCACTTGTATGGTGATAAACGTCTGAGATGCAGCGTATGACATACTATATATGTCTAAACCCAAGGGAAGGTATTTTCCCGTAACTATCCTTTCTAAAAAGGAGTTGCCTGCTAATTGAGTTCTTGCAAATCTCACATCACATGCTTGCAATGACTTTATTGTGAATAAATAGTTTGGAGACGACACATTAGTCTGAAACAACTTTTAATCAGTGCTAGTTTTGGATGCTTATATATAGCTGTCATCTGATAAAATCATTTTACAAGGAAGCAAATTTAACACAGCTTCAGTCATTAATCTTCTTGAATTGCATGTGTTGATTGTTGCAATTGTAAACAAACATTTAAAAATTACTTTAAAAAGCAGAAACAATAAATGGTTTTATGTTTGCAAGTGATTACAGGATGAATTTTTTAAAAATAGTGAAACTTCCTGTGTCATGCACGGGGGCCTATGACTTAGGATAAAATTTCCAGAGACAGCATCACATTTAAATTCTGAAGCAGCTTACCTAATCAGGGGTTCTGAAAACAGAGTTAGGTCACTCAAAAAAAGGGCTGACCATAGCAATGACTGAGGATACACGTAAAGAGTTTGAATAAAATCATTTCGTAAAATGTGAGGGGGGGGGGAAAGACTATTATTAGACTGATCTTAAATAACATGTGATTTTAAAAACATGTTTAGGGGGAGGATATAGCTCAGCAAGAGAGTGCGTACCTAGAATGCAAAGATCCTGGGTTCAATCCCCAGTACCTCCACTGAAAAATAATTAATAAAAACCTAATCCTGCCCAAAATAAAACATAAAATAAAAAATAATAAATGAATAAAAATTGTAAAAAAAATCATGTTTCGCTAAAAGTTGATAGGCATATGACGATTTCATCTGCCTCTCTAAAAGTTTGCATATTCAGGATGGGCACAACATTTTGGAGGAGTGGTGGTGGCAGTGAATAAATTGAAGGAGCACCCATGTTTGAGACACTTTAACATGTGTGATGCTCTCTAGTGAGTTTTTAGTGTCATTCTGGAAACTACGGATTTCCAAATTACAGTTTTGAGATGTAGTAAGTAGTAGTGTTCTCTTAAAAGAACCCTAAAGGAAACTTGTCTATTTTATTGATTGTTGACAATATATGTGATGACTTTGATTTGCATTTGGGTAGATTATCCCTTATATGAATGTAGAGATTGATCCAAGCTTTACTACTGAGTTATTTGCTAAGGATTGCAGTCTTTCTATGCTTGGCTTTCCTCATTTTTAAATATAAAATGCATCAGTGACCTTTGATTAACAAGAGTTCTTCTACCTCAGATAAAATGTCGAAGGAGAGCCTTTCTAAATTTGGCATGGTGACTTAATTATTGCATGTAGATGATAAACCAATGAATCCCTTCTGACCAAAGAAAATTGTTCCTGGAAGAATAAAAATGAGTTTTAGTTAGCATGTAGATCCTTTAGAAACAAATGTTTGGGAGTAGTAGACTTGTTTGAGGCTATGTTTGAACCAGTTATCAAGCATTTCTATCAAAGGGTATTATTATTTGCTTTCAGTTTTTAATTTTTTATTGCCCGGTTTATCCTCTACTGTGTGATTTTCTTCACCTCATTTTACTTTTTTGTGCAGGGTCAGAGTATTATTCCAATGCTTACTGGAGAAGTAATTCCTGTGATGGAGCTACTTTCATCTATGAAATCACATAGTGTTCCTGAAGAAATAGATGTAAGTTCTTGCTTGTAATATTAAGTAGGAGCAGGGTACCCTTTCTCAATTCCCTTGAATTCTATTACTATAATGTATATTAGTAATGTTCTAATTTTAGTAATATACTTTTTTTGTCATACACACTACTCATATGAATTATTAGCCACTTTCATAGAAACACTTAAAATCCTGAATGTTATGGCCAAACAGAGGCTTTTTTGATCAGTAATAGTAATGTGATAAAATTAAATGTATTTAGGCAATTTCCCCACTTTTGTATTTCCTGGAAGTGGGAGCATTTCAGACCTTACAGAATCAATCAGTATTTAACGCAGTACTTTCTGTAACAAAGCAGTGTACAAATCAGTGGCTGCTAATGGAATTTACTTATCTTCACTTATCTGGTTTCCTTGCTCATTCATTGGTTGAGGACATTAGGAATTACACTCTATGCGTGTGTAGAGAAATCTTGAGGCAGCTCTTTTTGTTGTTTCCTGACTTGGTCATTAAGGTTTGTCCCCTGATTGTGACAGCTCAGAAGAGGAAGCTGTGCTTGTAAAAAGTGATTGCTTAACTTGTCCAACCAGCTTTCACATCATCTGTTCTGAAAGTTTATAGTAGTGCACACAGATTGTTTTATGGGGATTCAGAATGGTCAGAAATGAGGGCAGTGTTTTATACTGAACCTGGACTCCAGAAAACTTGTGTATTTAAAGTGTTGTTTCAGCACTATATTATAGTCAGAATAAATTTTTTTTTCTTATTGGTGCATTTTAGATAGCTGATACCGTTCTCAATGATGATGACATTGGTGATAGCTGTCATGAAGGCTTTCTTCTCAAGTAAGAGTTTTATTTCTTTTCATAAAAGCTGGATGAAGGAGATCCAAATCTTATGCTCACCTATGAGAAGATTTGGGAGGAAGAAAACAGTAATAGAATGCCTCCCTAGATTATTCTAGGGTCAGCATTGCATATTTGAACTGTTGCTTCGCTTTATGTTACTTCTTCATTTATTCCATGTCTGTAATATATTTAAAGTTAGTCTTTTTAATTTTTAAAGAAACTGAGTTTCCGTAGCGCCCAGACAAGAATTTTTGGTCCCTTTTTTGGTTCTGATTTCTTGTTTTTCTTCTCATTAAAGCTGAAACTAAGAACCCTTCCAAATTAAGTTGCATTCTGGGTGGACTTATTTAGGCCTAGAAAGGAAAATTATTCATATCTGTACTGATCCTTTCCATGTTACAGTAGATTTTAGTATTTAAGAATGTGAGCTCTAAAGCCAGACTTCCTGGATGACTGCTATGTAACCCTGGACAAGCTACCTGAAATCCCTGTGCCTCCATTTCCTTATCTGGACAATGGGAATAATGATAATACCTCCTTCATAGGGTTATTATAAGCATAGAGTGAGATAAATCATAATAAGAACTTAAAACAGTGCATGGCACATATAGGCACATGATAAATGGCTGATAGCTAGCATTTTCTATATATATTTCTTCTACAAAAATGATAATACTAGTAATAATGGCCAATATTTATTTAGTTCCTATGTGTCAGTCCCTTAATGAAATGCTCTATGTGTATAATCTCATTTTCTACTTTAGGGTTTCTTTACAATTACAGATTATCATAAAATTTTATTTTAAAAAATAAAGAGTGAAAGGAAAAAATATTTGCTTTTATGTCTACAGTCTTCTCCTTTAGGTTCATGATGGAATCTCAGAGACGTGAGTGTATTTAGTCTCGAAGTCTTACGTGGCTTAAATCAGAAGGTCTTTAGTCCTGATTCTGTTGGTGCCAGCCTTTCATAATGTTATTTTTAATCCCATTTGACTTTAAGATTTTTTTTTTTTTTTGGTGGGGGAAGTAATTAGGTTTACTTCTTTATTCTTAGAGGAAGTACTGGGGATTGAACTCAGGATCTCAGGCATGCTAAGCATGTGCTCTACCACTTGAGCTATACCCTCCCCCCACATATGACTTTAAATAAATCACTTAACCTCTCTACACCTCAGTTTCTTCCACTACAAAATGGTGATGTGCTAACTGCATTGTATTATGGTTCAGGTAGAATCTGTGAAGGCCATGTGGTAGAAAATGCAATGTACTATGGAAATAAAAGATGACATTACAATCATAGCTTTGGTGTTCATCACGTAAAACTATTCAAGCTCACTTGTCTTTAGTTTAGTTTAGTTTAGTTTGTGAAATTGTTTTGCAGCCAATGTTTTTAATCTTTTTTTCTTCAATTTACAGTGCCATCAGCTCACACTTGCAGACCTGTGGCTGTTCTGTTGTAGTAGGGAGCAGTGCAGAGAAAGTAAATAAGGTAACTTATTTTATAACCCAGCAAATGATCTGGCTTTTTAATACTGCTAACATATCATGGATTGTAATTTAAAGGTTAAGTTGGTAAATCAACTATATTTCAATTTAAAAAATACATCTTTTCCCAAAAAAAACCAAAGGTTAGGCTGCAGTCAAGATGATCTACTAATACAAGAAGGCAATATAGTCTGACTAAATTACTGTGACATCCTGTGGCAAAAATGGGTGTAAAGTAAACTGTTTGACTAGGAAGTCATTCAACAGTTTCATTTTGATAATTCATATATATCATTATCAGTATTATATAAATAATTTTGAGAATATTTTAAGATCAGATTTTTAAAACAACATTTGTCTTCTATTTCCTGATGTTATCTTTAATAAATATGAAGATAGCCATGTGCTTTTGGTACTAATTCCAGAGAAATGGTATCTGATCATTCATCTTGATGTCATTCTCTCGCTTTCCTTCCTAAATCTATTCCTTTCAGGGGCCTATTGCTGCTAACCAGTCAGTGGCATTTCTGACCATTTCCTTTAGTGCTACATGAGTTAATAAAGATAATAAACAGCTGCCTTTCCAAGCATTAGGTAATAAACTAAGAGATTATGTACTTTTCTTCACTGACCATTAATTAGAGATAAGGGCACGTATCTATCAATTTAAGCAAACCTAATTTTTTTGGTAAGTTTTACACAGGAAGTATGTTAGGAACGATCATTTACTTCACAAATATATTTGTATTTTTTTCTGTAATAAGCTACCCTGTATACTTCCATAACCCTTGATTTACCAAAATTATCTCTCTTACAGCCACTTATGAGAGATTAGGTTACCTCTATTACTACATTGCACCTAGTGATTTATTATTGTTTCTATTATCCCAAGAAGGCAGCTTTCTATTTGTGTCCTCCAAAGCATTCTGGTTCCCCGGGGACTTTCTAGTTGCTTCTTGGGGAGGAAGAAAGTCTCTGGTTGGGGCTCTGTGTTTTAAAACGTTTTTCTCATCCCACTTCTTCTTCTGGCTCAATACCTCTCTTGTATCTTTGTAATTTGAGAAAAAGGTTGCCATCACTAGTTTGAAACCACTGCTTTAATATGAAAAGCCTGAATGTAGTCTGAATTCCAGGCTAGATAGATGGCTTTTTATTTTTCCTAATGGAGCTGTGATCAAATCCTGTTAGAATCATAGGTTTCTAAACCCCAACCAATTGCTTACTTATTTTAAATTAAATTTGATAGAATTGATTCTCATTCTATTGAAAAATTTGGCCTTTCTTTGATAGTCATCATAATGGGATTTCACATGCAGAGCTATTAAACAGCAGCCATAATTCTGCCTAATTTAACTGCTTTTAGTTTTCTTGTCCAAATTATTTGCTTATTTGAAACATACTTGCTGCTGGATGGAGATGCAATCAATCATTAGATTAGGTTATTCTTTCCCAATGTAAGACTAAGATATGGAATAAGCATACCATGGACAAATAAACTTGAGGAAGTCTGTATATTGTATCAGTCACCTGGAGAGTCACAATATGTATTCAAATGGTAAAGGTCTTGAGATACTATACAGTACATTTATTAGCATTTCCCAAACTTATTTGACCACAGAATGCCTATTTTAAGCAATAGCTGTTTATATCCCATAGACTATTCCAAATGACTAAGGAATACTTATTTCTTAGAATAGATTTGGACAATAACAATTGAAATTTCTATTCAGGTTTCTTTCATAAGCAGACCAGTGGCTTTTTTACTTCATATTTTAATGCTAAAATATTTTCATTTACAGATAGTAAGAACACTATGCCTTTTTCTGACTCCAGCAGAGAGAAAATGCTCCAGGTTATGTGAAGCAGAATCATCATTTAAATACGAGTCAGGGCTCTTTGTACAAGGCCTACTAAAGGTATAGTTTCCAGTTATCACCAGTGAAACCAATTTTTTAAAATCATTTTTGAGGCTTTTTATAAATGTATTTTGAATATTAGCATTTAATGCATCTCATGTTTATATGCCAAGGATCAGATTTCCTTTACACAGGTCTGAGCATGGAGTCTATGTCTAATGAATTTGTAGTTAGTATCAGTGAAACATCACGGAATAGCTTTCTTTGTGTTTCTCTTTGGCTTCCAGTAGCTGTCTGTCTGGCCTCAGGATTCGTTTTTCAATATGTGCTTGAATCAAGTTGTGCAATAAGGGGACATTTCTTTTTTTAATTAAACAGATTTGAATTTTTGTGTTACCATTTTATGTTTATGTACTGTATTCATTTATTGAAAATAAAATTTTGAGCTGCTTCCTGTCTTAAAAAGTATATAGGATTTGAAGATGCCTATAAATATAGTGAAAAAATTATGTTATATTTTTCCTTTATTTGCTTGAATCTGCTTTTCAAGGAGCTAAATAGATAAATATCAATCAGCAACTATTTTCAATAATTATAGGGAATAGTTATTCACTTCATTGAATCTATTACGAATGTTTCAATTATAGTCAAAAATGTGAAGAAGTAGGTTTCCAAATGGTTATGTGATTCATAGTGAATGCTTTCTTGAGGATGTAGGCATAGCAAAATGAAAGAAAAAGTATAAAAAATTGTTGCAAATAAAAATGATATTCAGCTTTTGCATTTTCAATAATGTGTATGCTATGAGCTCAGAATACTAGTATTTAAATACAGAAATGGCTTAAGGGAAACTCATTGCTGATTTAAGTTGTGCAAATCTGAAACCCAGAACTTATCCTATCAAAGGCATAATAAGCTACTTAGTACTTTTATTTCCCCAATACTGTCTCATTTAATTGTATAATTTTATCCCTAAAAGGGACCTAAACCAAATGCATAGCAAAAACTTGAAACTAAAATGAAAAAATATCTGTTAAGAGTTTTCCATACAAGTATACATTGTATAGCCTTCCAGAAAATATTTTGACATTATATGTCAAAAGCCTTAAAACTGTTTCAAGATTTAACCTACTATTTCTTCTTCTGGGAATCCATCCTAAGGAAGTAATTATGTATGGCAAAAGATTCACTTACAAATATGATTATCGCAGTAGTATAAGTGAAAAATTGAAAATAGCCTCTGTTGTTCACTTCACATACCACGTGCCTCACACACAGGAGGTCCTTGTTATATGACCATTCGCTACCCACCTGACTCTACCTGGAAAGAAGTACATTTTTTTACTTATTATAAAAATACATATTCATTGAGATTTAGCAGAACATATGAATAATCAAGAAGAACATAAAAAGTCACTTGTAATCTCATAATCCAGTGAATAACCCCTGTTAATATTTGGCATGTATCATTCTGGTCCTCTTTTCTTATGTTAGTATTTTTTCATATCTTACTCTCCCCTCCACCCTCCCCCCAAAAAAAGTTGGATTATACTCTGCATGTTTTAACCTCCTTTTTTCATAATATATTGTGAACATCTTTCAATATCAACACATAAACATTGGCAGCTTAATTTTTAGCAGCTAATTAAGAAACCATTTTTATTTACTTAATCACTTGTCTTTCTGGATGCTTAAGCTGTTGCTGGCGTTCTACTGTTTAAACCAGTGCTGTAGGGCACACGTCACTCCAGTTTGGCACACAATCATGATTGATTTCCTAGGATACATTTCTAGAACTCGATTTGCTAAATCCAAGCCAGTTTTTTTAATTAGAAGAAACTCCTTCCTATCTGTTGGCATATAAGACAGTACATTTTCTTTCCATTGTGACAGGATTCCACTGGAAGCTTTGTGCTGCCCTTCCGGCAAGTCATGTACGCTCCCTACCCCACCACACACATAGACGTGGACGTCAACACCGTCAAGCAGATGCCACCCTGTCATGAGCATATTTATAATCAGCGTAGATACATGAGGTCTGAGCTGGCAGCATTCTGGAGAGCCACATCAGAAGAAGATGTGGCTCAGGACACCGTCATCTACACAGACGAGAGCTTCACTCCCGATTTGTATGTTGTGCCCTATCTTTTGATATTCTCATTAAGCAATATTATGAAATTGTATCTGTTTTGTAATTTTATTTTTTATTGACGTGTAGTTGATTTACAGTGTTAGTTTTCAGGCATACAGCAAAGCAATTCAGTCATACATATACATACATATATATTTTTTCTTTTCAGGTTCTTTTCCATTATATGCTGATATAAGAAACTGAGTATAGTTCCCTGTGCTATATAACAGGGCTTGTTGTTTGTCTATGAAATTGTATCTTTTATGAGTACAAAAGAAACAAGTCAATGTTTAAAAGGAAAGAAATATTACTAGGAGAATTATGTTTGAAGAAATAGTTGGTTAATCAAGCATTTTTTTCCTGTTTCCTTTTCTTAGTATAATTGTGTTTCCCGTAAGATAGGTTAGGTTAGTCCTTAAAAATAAGTATTTAAGTATTTATTTAACAAATGTATATTAAGCCCCTAGGCACAGTACTAGGTACTAAGGTTAATAGTGGCCAACCAGACAGCCCCGGCCCCAGCTCCTCACTTGGCTTATAGATTAGTATATAAGAATCATTAAAAGGCTTATTAACTAAACCAAAGAAATAATTCTGAGTCTTTTTTTCCTTGATGTAGAAATATAAAATACAGCAAAACTGTCAAAATATATTAATAGAGCATTCTATTATATTTGCATTTTATTCTGTTACTCATTTCTTACCATAAAGGCTGATGAGTAAATTCACAAGGTAAAAACTAATGATAATAAAATGTTGAATGGGGACCCAATTAGAAAAAACATTTTTGATAACTCTGAATTATAAAACACTCAAAAGATGCTCTGAAATCAGAAAAAGAATTGTAGTAAACTATTATGGTTCTTTTTCATCAGTTTAAAGTGCCTGGTATATAGGGTATCCTCAAGAAGTGTTAACTAGTATAATCCACGTTTGAGTGTATAAAGCAGCAGTAAAACTGGAGCAAGCAACCCTGTCCTGTGTCTTTGAGAAAACTTTTGAGCTGAGGCAACAGACATATGAAGCATCAGTAGTCAGACAGAAGGTGTTGTCCAAAAGCACAGCAGAGGAACACCATGTCCGAGGCATCCCCAGCCTCAGTGGCTCTGGATGCAAGAAAGATGGCTTCACTAAGACCCAGCTTTTCCCAGCTCCCCAGTGTTCTTGGCGGTTCCTTACAAAGTTTTAGGGGGATTGGCTTAGAAAACAAATTGGTCAAAATAATAATTCCAGGTCACTAAGTTTTCACACATAGGTAATTTTGGTAAATGTGTCAAAATTGTCAAAATTAATATGAGCTTTTAAACATTTTCTTCTTTCCTAAAGTATTCAGTGTTTGTTTTTTTTTCAATTTTTTGATTGGTTGCTGGAGAGCTCTTTGGAGGGGGATTTAGTGAACTTTAGAATGGGTCTGCAACCATCTTGTATTTTTTAGAGGAGATACGTGTATACTTTTATCGCTTCTTACTCATTTCAGCCAGTTCTGTTTGCTTCACTAATTTGACTGTGATTAGCCAGCTTTTCTTGCTTTGCTGATCATAACAAAAAAAATGCCATGAATTTTTAAAGTTTGTTTCCAGCTCTAAGTAAATTTTCTAAACAGAAACTGTCCCAAAATATTTTCAACCACTAGATTGTGTATTATTAACTTTTATGTTTTATAGACAAATTTTAGTTTTGTTTTTTAAATAGTATTGCTTATTTTTAAGATATTTTAAATTTTAACTTCTAAAAATAATTTCCCTAACTGCCAAAATATGAAAATTCCACTGCTAGAAATAATTCTTTTTTGACACTTTGCTTTGTCTAATTCGCTTATGACCAAGACAATCAATTTATGAAACAGGTATATTCAGAACACTAGACTTAAATAGTTGAATGCTCTCTCCAAAGTCAGAGAATAGGTGCTGTCAGTGCCCATACTGGCCACCAATTGGATAGCCAGTAATCATAAAATGCTGGGTTTTTCCCACTCTGGGTTTCCTTCTTATGTAGTAGGGTACACCCATTTCTTAAAACTAGGAAATTTTAGGTACTTTCCTATTGACCTCTGCGCACACACCTCTTTCCCTGACGCTCCTGCCAGTTGTATGATGATCCCTACTATTTTCAGTCTTTCTTTTCAGTTAAAAATTGCTTACCTTCCTAAATGTTACATTACCCCTCTGACTTGAGTATAATCTAGGATCCTAGTAATTCCTTAGGGAAGTAGAAGGCGAGGAGAGGAGAGGAGAGGAAAAAGAGAAAAGGTCAAAGGGGATAGGGACCTGGGAAGGGAACCATTTTTTTTTTAAGCACCTACTATATCCTAGGTTGTGTCGTAGATGCACATTATCTCAAATGTGAATTACAGCTTAACTTCTTATTCTGATCATTGCCAATTTAGCTAACATTTTCTTGGGTAGCTGATTCACGTTACTTGCCAGATGATGGGCTTGTGGACGCAAACCCAGTGGGCAAGATGTTGCAGATAACCATCTGGGTGTTCCTTAATCTCACTTGAGTGTTTTCTTAGCATTCCTCCTTTTTACCTTTTTTCTTCCTAAACTGCTTATTAGAAGCCATTAGTACATGAAGTTAATCTTTTATATTGTTTTGGTTTTTGGTAGTAATAGTGTGTGTTTATTTTTGTTCTTGTTTTATGTTTTTGAGATGGCAGAAATTGGTAATTGTATTTATTAATAGCCTAAGGCTCTCAATAGTTTTTTATAAGGTCAGGGCACTAATATACATTGGTATTTTCATACAGACCCTTCCTGGAACTGCTTATACTATTTAAGAGACAAATTACATTGTAGCCTGATGAACTCTTATAAGAGACTAATGTATCCTTAAGTTAAAATGTAATACATATTTTATATCCAAATACACACATCTAATTCTTACAAATATGTGTATAATCCCATTTGTAAGAATTTACTGTATCGGCTGGCGTGAGAGACTGTGGAAAGTAGCATTGTATAGCCATTTCAACATCTGGCCTGTTTTCTTCATAGGAATATTTTTCAAGATGTCTTACACAGAGACACTCTAGTAAAAGCCTTCCTGGATCAGGTAAATATTAAACCCGAGATTGTCAGAGTGAATGACACGATGTGTTTTCTTTTTTAATATATCCCACAATGCCTGTACTATATATAGAATTTCACATTAAGTCCTTTTGTAATGTCTCTGATCTTTCTAAAGTGTCAAAATTATTTTTCTTCTGAATTATACAGAGGAGTAGCCTGTACGTTAACAATTAAAGATGCAGCATCCCCCAGTTCAAATGTTTTCATTTTAAGCACTAACTTATAACCCAAGAGTGTTTTCTTTTGGTGAAGAGGGGTATGTGTACAAATTTTTTTTGCCTTAATTGTTCCAAACATGTCTTTAAATTTTATTTAAATAATAGCATCCTTATTGTTTCATTCCTTTAAAAAGATCTATAGATTTTTGAAGAAAATTATAGATTATATAGGTCTTATTTCTTCATATAACAGAGTTTTCTTATAATACCACTCTGGGGATCAGGCCAGGAAACAGTGTAGCTTTGAAATAAGATCTTTAGATTAACTAGAAGTTTGGGATCCAGGTCTGTGTGGTCTGTGACATATTGCAAAGGTCAAGAATAATTGGTAATCATGTAATTCAGTGCTCCCCAAGCAGAAATAAAATCGTCTGACCATTCCGCATGTACCCCACCCCCAATGTAGAAAACTATGAATATCTCAAAACCAGAGTCTAAGCCTGGCTCAGCTTCTGGGAGCTCTAATTTTATTCGAAGATGTGGGCAGAAAGAAGTCAAGTATCCCAATGGAGGTAACTTATATTGGGATTTTTAATAAGAATAAATATGGACCTAGTCTAAGGTAGAATGAAAATTTGAGTCCATTCTTAAAATAGAACTATCAGATTGCTCCCAGACCTGGTCTGTCAGGGCGCGTCTGTGGAAAGGATCGAGGGTCACTGCTCTAACGTGGATATCTGCCAGGCACTGTCAACACTCAGACAGAAACACACTGTCCAAGTACAACGGGAGCAGGTTATTTGTTTAAACGTTTCGTCTTCCTGCAGGTCTTCCATTTGAAACCTGGTTTATCTCTCAGGAGTACTTTCCTTGCACAGTTTCTGCTCGTCCTTCACAGAAAAGCCTTGACGCTAATAAAATACATAGAAGATGATACGTAAGTCAGACTCCTCAACGGGAGAAACCCCCCCCCCACATTGTTTTTGGTTTTGTTCCCTTTGGACATTTTCTGTATCACAATTTCTTTTTTATTATTATGTGTAGGCAGAAGGGGAAAAAGCCCTTTAAATCGCTGCGGAACCTGAAGATAGACCTTGATTTAACAGCAGAGGGCGACCTGAACATAATAATGGCTCTAGCTGAGAAAATCAAACCAGGCCTCCACTCGTTTATCTTTGGAAGACCCTTCTATACTAGTGTACAGGAACGAGATGTCCTGATGACTTTTTAAATGTGTAACTTGTTCAGTGCATTTTGTCACATCATCATTGCTGCTACAGTAGCTCAGTGGTGTTGGGAAACATAATTCCCTAGAGTCCTACTCGGCACTGGCAGTTGGTTAGTTACACTACAGTTGTCACCAAGAGTCTGTAAGGGGATGTCAGGTGCATTGTTACAGCAGGTGCACCTTTTCTTGGATGTGCTCTCTTGGGATACAGACTTATGTTTACAATTATAATAAATATTATTGCTATCTGTTAATGATGTAGGGTATAAACTTGACCACAACTACTGTTTTTTGAAACTTAGGATTCACGGTTTACATGTATCTAAGTAAAATCTGTGTTAGCTTTCACAGATGTAATACTATTTGACTTTCCATCTCTTGGTGTTTCTTGGTATGTGGGATTACTATAATACTTTCACAATCAGCTGAAAATTAGAGCATCAGAATCATTTCAGTTCCACAAAAGGAAGTTGGCTTGGACATAGGTTAAGTTTTAGAAAGAAAATGTTTATCAAGTAGATGTTTTGTTGAAATTAATTATTAGATCCTACTTTGCAGACAGTCTTTCGGATTCAGTTAGTGTAGAAATGTCAGACAGGGTATAGAGTCTTGATGATGGTGAACCACAGTCAGAGTTTTTCTTTGTGTGTTGAGCTCTGTCAAAGAATATTTAGAAAATTGGATGTCATGTTTCAGTAGTTATTGCCAACTTTTTAAATTAATTTCCATTATTTTTGAGCCAAATTGAAATGAGTACCTCCTGTGCCTTTTTTTTTCCCTTGGAAAATAGAATTGCTTGGAAGAAGTGCAGGTTTCACTTGTCAGTCATTTTTATCTTGTTTTCCTCTTGTATAATCTTACTCTGATTTAGCAATCAGTATAACTCCCGAGATTTTTAAATGCAATAGAGAAATACTGACTAGTTAGATTTTTTTTTTCATGAACAAGAATAGTATCTTCTTCCTTAAACTTCTGCCCATATTTTTGAAGTTGTTGCCATGTCTCTTTGCCTGCATCATGTGAGGACTAGCAGGAGAAACTTTATTGATGTGCTGTTTTTCTAGGTGCTACTTTGGCAGAACTAAGTGGTCAATTTCTTTTCTTAATGTGTTTGGACCATCTTGCTAGCTATAAAATAACCAACTAACATAATTCTGTGCCAGAAGAGTGTTGACATAATAGTACACACGAGCATAAAAAATATTTTTATTTAAAACTGTGAAAGCAACATAAAAGGGAAAAATATTTATAAGAAAGGGATAAAAGTGATGGAGCCCATCTGCCCAGGCTCACTAGATTTAACGAAAACCAACATAGGTCCTGATAGCCTTTCACATCACTAATTAGAAAGGTGTCCCAATTTTTAGACACATACTCAACTAGATGATGGATGCTCTGTGGCTCAGTCATGAAAATTACAGATTGCACCTTGTACCCCTTCTTCAATGCTATTTACATGATGGATTATTTAAGTGCTAATTATTTTGTGTTGCTCATTTATTGTACTGTTATATAGGATGCAAGTTGTATAGGGAAATAAGTTATTAAAAGCATGTGTGCACATTGTTATATATCTTCTCCTAGATGGAGAATTTTGAATAAAATATCTTTGAAATTTTGTGTCTTTCAATTATTTATTCAGAAAAGTGGTGCTATGATATTGAAAGACTGATTGGCTTCCTGCTCAGCTGACCGTCATGTTGGATCTAAATGATTTTTTAAATTGATTTTCTCTTTTGAAAAAAAAATATTTAAGAGTTCTCTATGATGCTGTAATCTTATACATATTTTTTTTAAAAGGCTGTCTACTTAACTCCCAGAATTGCATGTTGATTTTTTTGTTTATATGTTACTACTTCAGATGAAAGATAATGCTTCAGTAAATTATTTTATTTAAATTACTGCTATAATAATATTAATACAACCTAAGCTGAAGTTACTCCTTCCAGGTCCCCAGTAGAGGTGTCCAAAATGAAAGTGCAAGGAATCTAAACCTTTTAATCTGGAAAACAAATAAGGTTGGTATTTTTATTCCAGTGGGGGGAAAAGAACTAATTCATAAATATGACTGTTGAGTTGAAAGATTTCCGTAGAAAAAAACTGATTCATTGCATTGATGAGTTTCTCAAAGAAAAAACCCAAACTTCATATAATGCTAGGAAATAAAGATGAGACAGTTACTCCTATGGTCTGTTTCTGTAATGCTTCAGGTCAAACAGGAAAACAGTGAATGTTTCTCTTCTCTAATACTGTTTTGCTTTTGACATGCAATTGCACAAATTGATATTTTTCCTGTGATCTTCAGGTTTTAACAAAGTACCAAAAATTGTTTACCCCTACTTAACACACACTACCCACTGGACTTTCTGAATCTCTCATCATCAGTATGAGGCATGTATTTTTATTTCCATTTTACAAATGAGGAAACTAAAGCTTAAGGAAGTACAAAGATCCATGATCACTCAGCTTGTTAAGCTGAATTTCATCCCAAAGTTACAGGAGCTGTCATGTGGCACAGCACCTGGTACAGTCCCTCCATGTAGCAGGTACTCAGTGTTACTGAATTAGAGGGACACACTCTAGTGCCCAAATGTGAGTCCTTGCTGTGCTACTTGAAGAAGTTACTTAACCTCTTGGAGGCTCACTTTTGAAATATTTGAAATGCGGTCATGATGATAAGAAGATTTAATGAGACTGTCTAAGGTACTTAGCTTAGTACCTGACCAGTGTTTCATAACTGCTTTTTTATCCAATCTGACAATCACTGCCTTTTAATCAGGGTAGAACATTAGAACATTGACATTTAATGTGATTATTGGTATGATTAGGTTAAATCTATTGTTTTGTTATTTGTTTTCTATTTGTTCATTGTTTGTTTTTATTCTTTTTCTGCTTTCTTTGGGATTGAGTATTTTTTATGATTCCACTTTTATCTCTTTTGTCAGCTTGTTAGTTGTAACTCTTTGTTTTTATTTCAGTGGTTGCTTTAGGGTTAGTGTAGATACATCTTTAACTTATCCATCTACATTCACATGATATACTACTTGAGGTATAGTTTAAGAACCTTACAGTGATAAACTTCTGTTTCTCTCTTCATGCCTTTCTGCTGTTATGGCCTCACATTTTACTTCTACATATGTTAAAACCTCCACATTTTATTATTTTTGCTTAAATAGTCAATTATCTTTAAAAGAGATTTAAATAGAAATAATCTAAACACCCCAATTAAAAGGCAGAAATTGTCAGATTGGATTAAAGTAAACAAGATCCAACTACATGCTACCAACAACAAACACATCTTAAAGATAAAGGACAAACAGATTAAAAGTAAAAAAGAAAAAGATACACCATACTAACACTAATCAAAAGAAAGGAGTAGCTATGTTAACATCAGACAAAATAGATTTTAGAGTAAAGAATATTACCTAGAGGTAAAGATTATTTCATAATGTTAAATGGGCCAATTAAGCAAGAGGACAAAAAATCCTAAATGCTGGTTCACGTAATAACAGCTTCAAAATACTTGAAGCTAAAACTGTAAGGAAAAATAGACAAATCTACAATTAGAGTTGGAGACTTGAAGACCTCTTTCAGTGTTTAATAGAGCAAGAAGACACAAATTTTAAAGCTAGATGGTGCATAGGCTCAATTTTAATGAAAGATTTTCCAGGAAAAAAAAATCTATATATAAATCAGTAAGGATATAGAAAACTTGAGGAAGACTATCAACCAACTTGATGTAAGTGACACTTAGAGACCACAGCCGTATCCAACAACGGTAGATTACACATCCTTTTCAAGAGCACACTGAGCAGGTACCAAGATAGACCATATTCTGAGCCATACAAGTCTCCATAACACAAAAGGATTCAAGTCATACAAAGTGTGTTCTCTTGACCATGACAATAAACTAGAATAACTAGATAAATAAACTAGAAACTAATAACAGGTATCTGGGAAAACCTCAAATAGTTGTAAACTCAATAGCAGCTTTTAAAAGATTAGATAATTTCTAAATTATGTGTCTGGAGAACAAGAGGAAATGGATTGGAGAACAGAAAGGGAGGTATCTGAATATTGTGGAATGATTTTACGAAGAGTGGAACTCATCCTGCCTTTGATGTCTCCCCACTATAACACATTCTTCACATTGATAACAGCATAATCCTTCTTAAATTAAATCTGATGATCACTTCCGTTAGACAGCTCTGCATCACTCACAAAATTAAATCCAAAATCTTTGTAACAGTTTCTGTTCATCCCTCTAACGTCACTTCTCACTTTCTCACTTCTCAGGAATTTCTTCTTTTGCTGAATCTATTACACTGTTTCTTTGCTTCTCTGTCTCAGGCTAGAGAACAAATACATGTCTTTTTCATTATTGTATCTCTGTGTCTAGCATGGTGCCTGGCACAGGGCGTGCTGCCAAAAAACTTAGTTGAATGAATATAATGAGTTTATTAAACATTATTTTCTTTGTCCTCTCCAAGAAAAAATTAGTTCCTGCAAAATAAGGAAATTGCCTTCTTTATGTCAGCAGAAACTAATTTTTGCCCCCAGAAAGCTCTTCATTAAAATTGAGCTTATGTACAACCTAGCTCTAAAAGTTCAAAAGATCTTTAGGCAGTGATTTTTATTCTTTTTAAAGTAGTAAGACCCTGTCATTTTCTGTTTCTCCATTTATTCCTCACAATCTCATTTCTCCATTTATTCCTCACAATGTCATCTCTGGCTGAAATGTTCTTTTTAAATTGATAGCTTGATAAATTGCTAAGCAGTTTTCATCAGACCCATTAGGGCAATAGTTAAGTATCCATTTGTGGAGCTGGACATTTAAGAAATCTGATCCAGTATTTAGAAAATCATTCCTGAGCTCAGACTTGGCTCAAACTGGCACCTTCTGGCACATGCTTGTGGGTGGGGAACGTGGAATGCTTTGAAAGCTGAATGGATTTGTCAAGTTTTAAAATTCCCTTAGGGCTGAAGGGAAACAACATTCATTGTTTAAAAACACCATTGTTTGTTTTTCTGCTTTTCTGTTCTTTGGAACCCGAATCTGCAAAAACACTCACGCCCAGCATTTTGCTTCATGCACCTCTCCTACTATGTGTCTGGAGGATGTGAGTGGCGTGGAAACCTTATTACTGTGATTAGAATGTTCAGAACAAACTGAAAAACTCCATTTTAATGCTCATACTGAATTTTATGGGAAAAGACCTATTTGCCATTGTAGGCAGAGAGGGGAGTTGATAGGAGTGTGAGTCCTAGAATCAGACTTCAAAGGTCCAAATCCCTGTTTTTCCACTTCTTGGCTGTGTGACCTTGGACAAGGTATTGAACCTGTCTGTGCTGCCTTAATATCCTCATCTATTCCATGGGGGAAAGAATAGAACCTACACCATAGGGTTGTGTGAAAAAAAATAATTGGGTTAATCCCTGCAGAACGCTTGGAAGGGTAACCGGCACAGAGTAAGCAAACAATAAAATTAAGTCGTGGCTGTTGTCGGTGTCATCGTCATTATCAGCATCATTAAGCAGCTGACTATAGACTTCCCATGTCTGATTATTAAACCACAACAATTCTACAGCCGTGATTCTAGGTGATAGCACCTCAGTAGCAAGATTATTTTATTCATGTGAACCCATCACTACCTCATTTCTCAGAGCAGAGAGCATCGCCCCAGAAGAAGGGCATTCTAAGGGCATGAGACATCCTACCTGGAGGCTTCACCCTGTATTTCAAATCTCTGCTCCAGCTCCACTGCCGTTAATAGGACCTCATCCTTTCTCATCCATATGAACTCAACAGACTCCTCCCTTCTAGTCCTCTCACCCACCAGCCATCCTCCTTTCCACACCCCTCCCCACATCCATTTTCCCCATAGAGGGCAGACTGAGCAGACTTTCCAATATCATCTCCTCTTTGGTCTCACTCACTTGCTTTAAAATCCCTCAGTGAACAAAAAAAAAAAAAATAACCCTCAGCAACAACCTCTGACACAATAGAAAGCCTGCAATCCTTGGCGAAATACAAGGGCCTTCGGGATCTGACCCTAGAAAACCCCTCCATGCTTTCCTTTCACCACTCATCCCCTTCTACAAGGCCCTGATGAACTGTCTGTGGTTCCCCAACCCACCTTGCTCTCATCACTGGCCTATCCACATGCTGCTCTCACTACCTGGAATACCCACTCCTTCTCCTGGATGTAAGTCAGGATTCCCCTGTGGTTGGTGTCATGTCCCACCAGGCTTCCCCCTCAACTTTTGATCTAGAGCACCTGGACTTTAAGCTTCTGGAGGCAAGGACTGTGTCTGTGCTCTAGTTTATACCTTAATTGCCTGGTACATAATATGTTTATTAAATAAATGTTGAGTTAATTACCCTCTATTCAGGACTCTTGTAGGTTTCTATGCTTATAGTCCTAGCCTAGCACTTAACTCCTAATTTTGAAACTGAGCAGGACCTTGTGGGGTCCTTCTGAGCAAAAAAGCCGTTAGTGTCTCCCATTTCTCCTTTGCCAGGAAGGCAAAAAAAGGCTTCAGCCTCCTAGACCTTCCTGAATTCAGATAGAGCAGATTCAAACAGCTGCCAATGAGGAAAGTAAGAGAATGCAGAAACAAAGGAGGAACAATCAAGAAATGATAGTGCAGTGATTAAAGCGGGATCCTGGTTCCTCCTCTAGTGATATACGTAATAAAACCTTTGAGTTCTTCTGCAGCACTAAGGCCCCCACCCAGGTGGAAGATGGCAACTTCAGGCTGAGCACAGGACTCCTGGAACACCACCCTGACACCTCGCCACCAATCAGTCAGAAGAAAGTCACACACCCTGCAGCCCTCACCCCAAGTTGTGCCTATAAAACCTTCTCCCTGCAAACCATCAGGAGTTCAGGTTTTTTGAGCATGAGCAGCCCGTTCTCCTTGCTTGAACCTGCAGTCAACCTTCCTGTGCTCCAAACTCCAACTTTTCACTTTGTTTGGCCCCACTGCTTTGGGCACACGAACTTGTATTCAGTAACATTAACATCATTATTGTGGGTTGTTGGTTTGTCTCCATTAGACTGTGAGCTTCACCCACAAGGCTGGGTCCCTGTCTTATGTATCACTGTATCCTCAGCTTCCAACCTAGTGCCTACCATCAAACAGGAACTCAGTAAATTCTGAAAGAATGGATATTATCCACATACCATTAATCTTAGGTTTAAAGTTTCCCCAAATTCTGAAGCAAGGGGATTGACTTATGGGTGCCCTTGGCAGTTCTTGGATGTTATCCCAATGATGCCACTGACATTGTAAGCAAAAGCTGTCCTGTGTGTACATTTCCCTGAGTGCTGGGGGCCACAGCCTTCATTAGATTCTTAAAGGGGTTTCTGATTCCCCACAAAGGTAAGAATCTATGTCCTAAAGAGTTCTATTTAAAAGCGAGGTGTGAGATAAAATGTTTGCAAGATAGTTTAATGAATCAGTCCATTGGACCTGGACGAAGGTAGAGGTTTTGTGCCCCCAGGAATCTCCCTGCAGCTGGACTGTGGCTCCAGTTGGCTGCAGCTGGTGTTTCTCCTGGGTGAATGCCCACTTGAAAGCCCCCTCCACACATCTCTAGGAGCAGTTTGAGACTCATTTGCAGGATCCCCTTGGTCCTAGAAGCATCAAGGATTTCAGCCCCTGGAACCAGCACCACTCAGTGTTTTAACTCAGCGCTCAGGGAGGAGCGGCTCTTCTGCTCAAAGCTGAGAACCTCCTTTGATCTGCTTTGGCTGGACATTTTCTGTGCCTACCATCAATAGACTTGGTATTTCGTTCTGGCCCAGACCCACACAAACAAGAGACCAGAGCTTCTCTAATAACCTAAGAAAAACCACATTTGAAAAATAACTTGAGCAAATGAATTCATTCTGGCAAAAGCCACTCAGCTACGTGAAATAAACTTTAGGGTTTTGCAATAGCAGGTCCTGAAAATGTCAACAACCCCAGGGTCCACGTGAGCTGAGCTGTTTGCTAAACAGAAAGAGTCCCTGGCCCAAATTCTGCCAGAATAAAGACTACCTTATAAAACTAGGAGTCAGTGGCCATCATGTGAAAACAAAGTGAGGAGTGGAGGGGTGGGACTCAATCCCAGGAAAATGAGAAAGTCTCATGACTAGACATTCAAAATGCTGGCTTTCCAAACAGAAAGCTAGGATGATGAGGGATGGGGGTGGGAGGGCTGTAATCTGTGCCTCAGGCCCTTGCTCAGACCCTACCAGGCCCCTGCCTTCCCTAGGGAAAGCCAGAGACTACTAACTCTCATGAAGTCAGAGGAACCCCCTGCAGGTTTTACCATGTGTTCTGTTGACAGGATAATGGTTCCATTGAAACTGTAATAACATACTTGGCCAAAGAAGCCCACACTATTATAGCAACTTCACACCCAGCCTGAGTTTTCAGAGCATAATGATAATATGTTCTCTCTAATGAGACCCATACTGTTCTAAAGAACTTATGTAGAGTGTAATCTCTATTAGAACAATACTTGCTATAAATAATAAATATAGTGATCATCATTTTATAGTTGAATAGAGCTCTTTCCAAAAAAGTACTTTCTCATTTTTTTAAATTAACTGCTTTTATTTTTATTTATTTTCTTAATGGAGGTACTAGAGATTGAACCCAGGACCTCATGCATGTTAAGCATGTGCTCTACCACTGAGCTATACCCACCCCTGCTTTCTCATTTCTTAGTGAGGTCCTTTTTATGCTGGGAGCACTGTGCTAGAATCCACATCTTAGAATGGCCAGAATTTGGAGACATTTGGAGAAAAAGCATAGGAATCATTTTTAAAGACTAGAAAATGCAATGCACAGAAAAGTACTGAAGAACTTATTATTTGCAGTAAAACTTAGTATTATATTTCAGTTATACAAAGGATCCTGGTCAAATTAGCAACACATATTGAATAATGGCTACGTTCCAGGTGCTCTCTGAGCAATTTCTCATTTAACTCTCCCACAACCTCGTCAAGTGAAGGTCCCTGTGGTACACCACGAGGACACTGAAACTTAGGTTAAATGACTGTCCAAAGGTAATAGACATTTTTCACAAACATTCTGCTTTTTTTCTTTCTTTTCTTACCTATAAGTTGGATAGTACTTTCCCTTTCGGTGGGACTCAGTTATGATCACCCAACTCATCAATGAAATTTAAGCAAGAGACAGGTGCCATTTTCAGATGGAAGGTTAGAGAACCAGTACGAGCTTTGCCTCCTTTGCACTTTTCCACAGCAACAATTAACATTCTGGAAAGTTGCTGCTCACAGCCTTGGCCCTGCAGTTGGGGCTACAGGAGCAGAGGCCCCTCTCCCCCCCCCCAACCAACCCAACACAAGCATGTTGCAGGAGTGAGACTTGACCTTACAGTTTTAAGCCGCTGAATTTGGGATATTGTTCCTGCAGCAAAGCCTGACTGCTAGACCAAGTCACCCAGCTGACTAGAACTTGAGCTGACTCTTGCCCACAACTTATTTTAACTAACATGCTGTGTTACTTTCCAGGTAGACAATGACAGCTGAGTGTCTTCTAAGGGGTGCGAGGAGCAGGGGAAGAAAACATCATTATTTCAGTGACAGAAATTGAGATTCCCCAGGGGGCAGTCAAGACTGATGGAGAAAGAGAAGTGAGTCAGATCAGGAGAACTTCTACTGAAGGTTAATTCAGAAGAGAAAAACAGTTAATGTTTTGATGTCTTTTCTTCCAGGCATATTGAATGAAACACTTTGCATAGATTTTCTCAAAGAAAGCTCTACTTAAGGGAAATTTTCTTAACAGAGCTCCTGCCTTGGGATTGTTTACTCTGCTTCAGGGTCTGTCTCTGGTTTAGTCTATTTTCTTACAGATCTCACAGCAATAACCATCTCTCTCACTAATCAGCACACAAGATGGTCCTCATTTCCATTCTACCAAAAACCCAAGTATTTTGGTTTGGATTCCCCCCAAATCAGAGCCCAAGACAAGGACTCGAGGGCAGTTAGTTTATTTGGGAGGTGATTCCAAGAAGCAGGAGTGAGAAAGCAAGCTGACTGAAAGAAGGAGAAAAGGCCAATATGATGAATCATACCTACTGTCCAAGGTCATTGTGAGGATAAAATGAACTAATAAAGGTGAAAATACCCAGCACGGGTCCTAGCACCTAACAGGCACTCAATAAAGGTGAATTCCCTACCTTCCATCTCCTGTAAATGCCCTGGAGACCGACTAGACACTAAGGCAAATCGACTCTGAAGTCCTTCCAGCTCTCTGCTTGTGCTTTGCTTGGAGTTTCTGGTTCTGACTCTGCCTCCAGTTTGAGCAGCAATGAGGCACAACTTCAAATGAAAAATCTGGTTGAGCATCTGCTGAGACAAACAAAAAAGAACCCAGGAAAGCAAAAAAGCCAAGGAAAGGGAATGAAAGTGTCATTCAATTTTATTTTTAAAAAGGAGGTTTGTTCTTCTGGGACGTTGAGTGGAAATCTTGATATCACCTAGCTGTCATAAATCCTCTTTGGAACAAAGTAACAAACGAAGGAAGGGAAATAAAGAATGGAGGAAGGAAGAGAAAGGGATAATGGGAGAGAAGAAGGAGAGAATAAATAAAAGAAGGAAGGAAGGAAATTACCCAACAGAGACTCTGCTGAGCATTAGGTGATAAGACTCGGAGAAAATTTAAAATGAAACTTTCCCAAAAAACATTTCAGAGAGATGTTTCTCCTCAGAAAAGCATCATCAGGGCTGTTCGATGCCCAAGGCAAGTCTCTTTCATATGATTAGACATAAAACTATCACATTTGAGGCTGGCCAGAGGCCATTTAGAAATTCAATAATTATTCAACCCAAGGGGCTTTCCAAATGGTGATGTAGCTTCTGAGGAGGAAATTAATATGGGGCATTGTATCAAATAGAGTCCTGAGTAGCTAAAACAGCTGGGGGCTGAAGTAGGACAGGGTGAGTGATACACTTACTTTTGTGTCTTGCCTTCATTATGAGGTAAAAAGGAAAATCTTGTTTATTTTTCAAATGGATAGAATTTTCACCAAATTTCACCTCTCACCAAATCTAACTGAAGTAGCCCTTGAACTCTGAGCACCACTCTCCAGAGCAACATGGTTGTGGGTCTATGTTCATCAACAACTATGCAAAACACGCTTTCTTCATTTTCACTCTATTGCAATCTGTCTGTTATGACATTGCTATGGTGACACCCTTCCGATATCCTTTGCTCTTTTGGTACCCTCTCAGAGGAAGCTGTAATGAAGTGGTTTGGCAACAGAATCTTTCTGGGACTTTTCTCATACACCACTGAAGACTTTACAGGAAATGTAGAAAGCGTGAACTGAAAATGATGAAAAATGATTTGCCCTGACTTGGCTAAGGAATGTGAATGTCATTCACTCTATGTTAAACTAACCAGAAATATCCTCTTTTTGTTCCCAATTCCAGGAGATGTCCTCCCAAGGGACAGCGAGTTTTCTGGATTCCATGTGGAATGTAACACACACTGGGTGCTGGGATCTCTTAGCCTCATGGGGGAGGGACTAGTGAGGGTGGTTAGAGAACTACGTGCTGGAGAGAAAAAGAGGTGGAGTTTCTTGAGCACTTACCTGTCAACACTTACAGTGACAGGCACTATGCTGAGCATGTTACACGCAATCTTTCACTGAGTCCATACAATTACCTATGTTATTTACCCCATTTTATAAAACGAAGTAGCTGACTCAGAGAGATTAGACACAGCTAATATGGATCTTTCAAACTCTGAAGTCCATTCTTTTAATTACCATGCCACCTTGTCTCTCTGATTCATCCTTCAGATGAACCCGGTTTCTCTCTTTTCCCTAGAAGAGCCTGGAAATAAGATTCATGAGTAGCTGCATCCAAATTCCTCAGACTTACCCTTAGTAACCAGGAGAGGATTATTTGAAACAGCCTAAAAGCTGACAACTTCATCTGCAACAAGCACACCCTTGTGGCCTTTTCCACTCACGTGTTAGGATACACAGAACCCTAATGGTTGTGAGACCCAGAGTTAACCTCCCAGTTTTGCTAGTTATGTAATCACTTAATCCTTCCAGCCTTCGTTACTTTAGCTGTGAAATGGAAATGGTAAAAAAAAAAAAATCATGCTTGTCCAAAGGTCAGGAATGGCCAGTTGCTCTCATTACCCATTTCTGCCCTCTTTTGGAACCTTCTGAGTCTTAGATATCAGAGGCTGTGCCCTGGACCCAGAATTAGGGGTCCATGATTGCCCTTTTATAAGGTGGCAAATAGAGTTAGTAGTCTCTGAAAGCATCTTACTCAACAAGAAGTTCATTTTTCTTTTCTACTTGTTGCCTTTTAAGTTACAGCTTCAGACATGACTTTGGAAGCTCCTTTAGGTAATTCTTCTCCATTAATCATTGTTAACAAAAATCATTTAATTCCTTTGATCTCTAGGTGAGTTTTTGGGATCCCAGCCATTATCGTCTAACTGCATGACTAGTCCCCATACAACTATATTAATCTTGGCTTCCAGAACACATCTTGCATTTCTCTCCCTTCCTGTATCTTTACTCCTGTGGTTCCCTCTACCTGAACAATCTTTCAATCTAACTCCAGCAACGTCCACCATCTTAAGTCCAGCCCAAATGCCACATCCTCCCTGAAGCTTCCTGCAATCAGCTCCATCCACAATTAATCTATCCTATCTCTATGCTCCACAAAAAGTATTGGCCTTTTCTATACTACCCACCATAGACTTCTTTGTGTTATTGCTATTTCTGTTTCTCTTGTCATTTTAATAGATTGTAAGCATCTTGAGGGCAAGATCCAGGCTTTCCCTTTGCCATGTGATAGTGGCAGTGGCTGTGAGGGGTACAGCTGTGGGCTTCAGTCACACTGCCCAGTCTAAAACCTGCCTAGGCGATGTAACTGCTGCGCGACCTTGTGCAAGTTACTTCAACTTTCTAATCCACAATTTCTACACCTGTACCTACCACATAGGGATCTTATGAGAATCAAATGAGATATCCCATGTAAAGTGCTTAGCATAGACATGGCATATTGTAGGTGCTTACTAGATATTAAATATTTGCAATGCCTACAGTGAGGTCTTTCCATTAATTATTTCAATATATATTTCTTGAGTGCTGTGTTAGTCTGTTCAGGCTGTTATAACAAAACACCATGGACTGAATGGCTTAAACAGTAGACATTTACTTCTCACCACCGGAGGCTGAGCAGTCAAAGATTACAGTGCCAGCCAGTTGGGTTCCTGGTGCAGAATCTCTTCTTGTCTTGCAGATGGTTCCCTCCTCACTGTGTCCTCACATGGCAGAGAGACAGCAGTCTCTCTCTTTTCTTTTTGTGTCATATAAAGCCATTAATTTCATTATGGGGGGGTCCATCCTCATCACCTCCTCAAACACTAATTGGTTCCCAAAGTCTGTATCTTCAAATACTATCACATTGAAGGTTTGGGTTTCAACATATGAATTTGAGGGTTGGGGGTGGGACAACAATTCAGTCCACGGCAAGGATCTATACATTTTCTATACATTTATTGAGCTAATCTAGAGATAGAGCAATAAACCAAACAGATGAAAATCCTTGTCTCATGGAGTTTATATTCTAGTGGAAAGAGTAAGGCCGTATGTAGACAGAATAATTGCTCCCACAGATGTTCACATCCTTATCTCTCTAACCTGTGAATATGTTACACTACAAAGGGGAATCAGGTTGCAGATGGAGTTAACGTTGCTAATCTGCTGACTTTAACATAGGAAGATAATCCTGGATTATCTGGATGGGTTCAATGTAATTCCCTCGTCAGTACAAGAGGAAAGCAGAAAGACCAGAGAGATGTGAAATGGGAAAGATTCCACCTGCCCTTACTGGTTCTGAACAGGGAGTGGGGGATACACGCCAACAAATGAGGGTGGCCTTGAGAAGCTAGTAAAAACAAGAAACTGATTCTCCCCTATAGATTTAAGAAAGGAATGCAGCCCTGCTCACACCTTGATTTTAGCCCACTGAGACCTGTGTTGGACTTTTAACCTCCAGAACTGTAAGATAAGAAATTTATATTATTTAAAGCCACTGAGTTTGTGGTGATTTGCTACAGCAACCACAGAAAACTAATAGAGGCAGTAGATATATTACACTAACCTAGGAGGTTTATCTGTCATATATCACATGGCAATAAGTGCTACGGGGAAAATTGGAGCAGGGCGTGTGGAGAGGTGGGCGTTGACTAATTTCAAATAGAGTTGAAAGGGGAGGTCTCTGGTGACTTTTGAGCCAGAGCTGCAGGAAGTGAGGCAGTAAGCCATGAAGTGTCCGAGTAAAGAGTGTTCCTGGCAGAAGGCACAGCAAGTACAGAGGTAGGTGCTCACCTGGCATTTGTGGGAATCAACCAGGACAATGTGGATGGAGCAGGATTTGTGATGGGGAAGGTACTGGGAGACCAAGTCAGAGATGAAGGAGTGCTTATTTGTGCTGGTTTTACTCTGAGTGAGACAGGAAGCCCTAGGAGGATTTGGAGTAGCAGAGGGACAAAATGCAACATACCTTCTATTGAAATTACACAGGTGGCTGTATTGAGAGTAGAACATAAGCAGGGCAGGAGGGAAGCAGAGGAACCAGGTAGGAGGCCATTGCAGTCATCCAGGCTCCAGGTGTTTGTGGCTGGACCAGGGTGGTAACAGTGGAGGCGATGGAAAGAGGTCAGCTTCTGGATATCTCCTGAAGACAAAACCAACAAGATTTGCTGATAGATTAGATGTGGACTAGACAAGGAAAAAAGTCAAAGATGATTCATAGTGGCCTTAAGCAACTGAAAGATTATAGAGACCCTTCACTGAGATGGAGATGACCACAGTGCCAGCAAGTTTGAGGGGGAGGATCTGTTCGGTGTGGGTGAACTTTTGTCATCTGACTCCTCCCCCTCCTCCCCTGCCTTCTTTCCCTTCAGATTGCTTTCCCAAATGAGCAAAGAGATGTGCACATAAGGAAGAGTAGCCAGCGGAAAATAGCATCTAGTTCAAATCATGAAGGGGGCAGTTTGCTGTACAACACAGGGCTCGATAAAAGCTGGATTGAAGAGGTGTAGCCCAAGATGCTATAAATTGAATGTTTGTGTCCCCCCAATATTCATATGTTGAATTATAACCCCCAAGGGGCTTTTGGGAGGTGATGAGGTCACAAGGGCAGAGCCTTTGTTAATGGGATTAGTGCCCTTAGAAAAGAGGCCTGAGCCACTAAGAAGATGGAAGTGGGATGAAAGTTCTTTTCTCCCTACAGGCAAAGCTGACACCCAAGGAGAGAGATGGAGACAGTTCCATCAACGCTCGTTCATTAGAATCCAGTGCCTTCTTTGCCCTGAGTATGCCCTGCTCATCTGCACCCTGGAGCTTGAACCCTATCTCCGGGGGCAGAAGAGGGATCTCAATGTTCCGCTCTGGGTTCTGAGACAGGGAATCTTATTTTTCCTCTCTTCTTGACAGAACAGAAAAGGTCATGTGATGAGAATTCTTGGGCAGGCAACAGCCTCTTCCCAATTAGGGATTAATGAGTGAGAAAGAAGGACTATTAAAAGGTAAACTGTAGTAATTAAGAGACACTTCCATTCTAATTATTCGGGATGATGAAGAGCTGTCTGATTGCCAAGAGGCAAAAAGGACAAAAGGAATGGGGTTTGAGGCAGTTTGGAAATGAGTTTGTATTACTGAACGATGAAGAGAAACATTGCTTAGTGGCTGGGTTTTGGTATCTGATCATTCTTTCTTCTCATGTTTGAGTCTTGTAATCACAATCTTCAATATCTTTGTATTGCTCAAGTGACAGAATTAAATGGAATCATTTAATCCAGGATTGATATCATTAGACCATGACGATTTATTAAATATTTCTTGCCATATCAGATTTGACTCGATATTGCAAAAGATGTATGTGGTCTTAGAAGTTCTCACTTAACTAGTTGCAAAACCACTTCTGGGGAGGGTTGTTTTCTCTGTGTATTCTAATTTCTACTTAATATATTTCCATACTTCCTATTAATTTATTTAACCTTATTTTTTTTAATGGAGGTACTGTGGATTGAACCCAGGACCTTGTGCATGCTAAGCACATGCTCTATCACTGAACTATATCTTTCCCCCATGTCCAAAGTGTGTAAGAATTATAAAATGCAATATCTAGTCATTTGTTACTTCTCAATCAATTTGCATTAAGATGCTATCAGATAGGGAATAAAAGTATGTGGAAAACTCATTCTTTTCCTCAGGAAGCTTATATTTAATGACTCCTACTCTGAACTTACCGTTTACAAACACGCTGCAAAGTAGATACTGCTCTCTCCAATTCGTAGAGAATACTGAGGTTTAAAGGTCATAGACCAAGATTACACAAACAGAAAGTGGCAGGCTGTGTGTGGGCTGAGCTTCCAAGTCCATGCTCATTCCATTACTCCCAGCTTGTTCTAGTGAATCTGCTAGAATTTCGGAGTCTTTCTCAGTGATTAATGCTCTCCTCTGTCAGGCAGTCCAGACAATTTTTAACAAGTTGGAAAATATTGAAGAAGGTAAGCGATTTCCCCCTCTCTAGGTGCCAGGGATGTGGCCATGGTGGACCTAAAACGCACCCTTTCAGATCTGGTATCTTCCTTGCCGCCATGGCCGGAGGATTAACGTCTTTTCCGCAGGGCTGGGGGCCCCGCTAAGACTGTCCATTCCCCACCACTTTCTGGATGGAAAATGACCTAAAGGTGACCGGACCTCTCTCCCAGACGGAGCTGCCATTCCGCGGGCGGCCGCCAGGGGGGCCTCCGCTCGTGTCCCCTCACGAGAGCCGCGCGCCGGGTGCCTGTGGGGGCTGCTGAGGAGCCGCGGCGGCTGCGGCCGGAGCCCCGCGTTCGCTCGCCCGCGCGCTCCCTCAGACCGCGCGCGCTGGCCCGGGAGCCCCTCGTTGGATCCGCGAGCGTCGCCCCTCCTGTCCCGAGCTCACCCTCTTCCTCCCGCGCCGCCTACCGCTGCCCCAGCGAGGGGAGCCGACAGGGCCCCGGGGCTGAAGGTAAAACCCCACGGTGAGTGAGAAGCCGCTCCAAGCGAGGGGAGGTGGCGCAGCCCGCAGCCGCTCACGCCGGGTCGCGTCCAGGCGGCTAAGAGGTGCGGGGCGCACCTGGGGGCGGGTGCAACAGGGGGGCGGGAGGCCGCGGACCCTGTTTCCCCGCCCGCTCTCCTCAGGCTTCCGGGGCTGGAATCTGCGTCAGCCCCCTGCCCGCGTCTTGGCTTCTGGCCGGCTCCTTCCGCGCCCTACCCGGGCAGGAACAAGAAGAGTCCAGTCCCGACCCTGGGTTCCCGGGCCTTGATTTTAAAAGATATATCAATAAAAATCGATCTTCTTTCGGGGTACAAGTCTGTCTCCGAACCCATCCTGAATCGCATATGACTGCAGGGTGCGTGCTGGGTTGTGGGTGGCGGGAAGACAAACTTTTACAGAAGTGCGCCTGGGCAGGGGGACAACGTTTACGGCGTCTTAATATTGAAGGAGGAGGCTCGGCTTGGGGCTGTGAAGGGGAACTTCGCTTCGTCGGCCAGGTCGCGCCGGGGACTGTTGATGCTTCGCGGAGGGAGAGGGTGTGTAAAATCCTGCTAAACCCTTGGGCCAACAACTGTCAAACATCTGGAATCCCAGCCCCTCCTTCACCCTGCACCGAGGAAGGAGGTGGAAACCCTTCAACTTTCCTTTGATTCCGCCTCCCTGCCTTTGGACCCCTCTCGAAGGGTAAAAGGCCGACTCTCGGCGCCTGGCAAGTAAGTACCAGAGACCCCCAAACTCCTCAAGATCCCCCCTCACCCCCCCTTCCTGACCCCTCCCTGACGTCCTCCCTGCCGGGACCACGCGACAGAGCCGATTGAGATCGTGGCGAATGGCCTTTTGTTTCTCCGCGTTGTCCCTATTGTTTGCCTTTCTAACATCTGGCGGGGATTGAGAGAGAAAGAAGCCCCTCTCGTCCTCCTCCCCCGCCCCCCAAGCCAGCCACCCGGCCAGCTCGCGCCCGGGATCCCGGCTGGGGAAGGAGAGGAGCCCAACCCCAGCGGGGCCGCCCCACCCGAGCCTTGCGGTTACTGGGCGGAGGGAAAGTTGTTCCGTCTCCGCCTCCTCGGCTGCTTGTGGCTCAGGGCACATTTCTCAGATCTTATCCCAACTGCGCCGCAAAGAGCGCAGATCCAGAGGGGCGCCGCTTTCGAGGGAGTGGAAGCGAGGTTCCGCCCCAATCTGGGGGTGTCCTTTGGTGAGTTCCAGTGGATTCCACCTCTCTCTGCCTAAAGGCGTGTGGCTGGGCCGCTGCCTGGCAGTGGGACGGGATCAGGGCAAGTCTGGTAGGCAGACAGCTCTGAGGTCTGCGAGTTCCCAAGGGCTGAAGGGCAGGCAAGTCGCCTTAAAGGGAATGGAGGCGGAAGTGACCTAAGAAGCCTCAAGACTTTGCCTAGAAATAGGGGTGAGGTGGCTCCCTCCTGAGTGAACCTAGAGTCGGGCTCCAAGTTTAAGTCCCAGGTCCCCTACCAGCATTTAGAAAAAGCAGGCTTGTACACAGCTCAGACGCCGCCAGGGCTGTGTTCACGTTTCCAAGTCCCTGTGAATCAGTGTCTGAGGACAGGCTCTGAGTTGGCCTGTGCGTGCGCCTGGGAGGTGATAGGTGGCCCTATTTCTCTGCCTCTCCTATTAAGTTGAATACTTACACATGGTGCTTATTCTTAGTGACTGTGGATTATCAAAGCGCTAGGGCTTACACCTGAAACTAATATAGTATTGTAAACCAACTATACCTAAAACAAACAAACAAACAAACAAACAAAAAAACCTAGGGCAAAAGCATAGTAGCCACTCTGAGAAAGTAGGGTCGCCAAATGGTGCCCGGAGAGTCCCTTTGCCTGTGAGAGGAGACGGTGTCTGTGCACCTGTTGGAATCTATACCTGCCATAATCTTAACATATACTAGTACCAACTTTTTCTGTCTGGCTGACTCCCCATCAGTCCCTCTTCCAAGGAGACTCAACTGTACTCTCTCTCTCTGTTTTTTTTTCAATCCTCCACCTTTTGATCCTTGCCGCCAGAGAGGGGAGAAAGGAAGCTTCCATCTGTACGCTGTGACTGATGTACCCACTCAAGCTTTTTAATTGGAAACTGCATTTGCCTTTGCAGAGTTCCAGGAGTTCCTCTTTAGTGGACTTAGAACTTTTGTGCTTCCACTTAATAAAGAAGAACAAAGGACACAAGCACAGGAATGTGGACACATAGAGCACTTTGTGCAGTGATTTTTGGGTATTACCAGTGGGACCAACAAAAGAAAAAAGGCAAAATCGTTGAAGTACCAGAAGGCACTTTACAAACATTTTATTATGAAAATGATTCCCCAAGGAAGGATTCCTTTAAATCTCCAGCAGCAGCAGGAGAAAAGCAGGAAGGACCCAGGTTGCTCAAGAAGTGTCCAAAGGCATCATTAACAAAGTGAAAGGGCACTGCCTGTCCCAGCCTATCCCAGTAAGGAAAACAGGGTAATTGTAGTGAAAGATAAGATTGCACAGTTTCTTCAATTTTAGAATTAAAAATAACCCCTCCCCACCATTGTAGAAAAAGTAGAAAATACAGAGGTGAAAATTAAAACAAAAGGAGGAGGAATATTACAAATAAGGCCCCATCGAGCACACTTACTCAGTTATTTCCTTGGAATAAATTTCTGGAGATAGGATAGTTAGGTCTAAGGAGTTAATACACTTTTTTGGGATATTTAAGATTGGCATATTGTCCCGTAGGAATCGTGTGCCAGTTTACCCTCTCCCCATCAATACACAAAGGGATATTTTCCTCTATATTCTCCACCCCATTAATACTTTATATTATTGCTCTCTCTCTTTTTAAAAAAATCTTTGCCAGACTGATGGGAGGGGGAGTATCATTATCTTCTTTTGATTTTTTTAATCATAAATGAGATTAAACATTTTTCATATTGTCTTTTGCTTTTTCTTTGTGCTTATACCAATTTGTGTCCTTACCTATTTTTCAGTGAGCACGCTCTTTTTCTGACCAGTGGTGCCTTTAATAAAAGCATCCCGTTCTGACTTCTGCGCCTGCTGGTACAATCAGACAATCTTTATTGACTTGAAGTGCCAATTCTCTTCCCTCTTGCACTGCAAACATTTGGCAAGACTGCAACCATTAATGACTAAAGTAACTACTGACATGGTCCCAGTAGAGTTATTAGGGAGACCACACGAAGGCATTATTAGAGAAATTCATGGAGAATATCAAGTGTATACTTTCTACTTAGTAGCTTGCATGCCCCAGCTCCTTTGTAACTTGTAATGCTTCTTTAAAAATTTAGAACAACTATGGATGAGTTCTTTTTACTAAGTGAATTATACTAACTCTTTTTATTGTATGATCCTCCCCGATAACCACTAGTTCTTGTTTTTTTAAGCATCTTCTAACGTTTGGACTGAATTTACCTCAGTTTTATCACAAGACTTTTCTTTTTGACCACACCGTTTGAGCCCTGTACTTGGATGAATCTTGAATCTAAACAGTTCAGCAGCATGCTATTAAAGCCATAGCAGGGGAGGCCTTACAGGGGCCCAGCCAGGTACATTTCATCCTCTTTGATGCATTCGAATGGCCACAATCTCTTTGGTAATTCTTGCTTGAAGGTAGATGATTCTGAAATGGGGTAGAGAAGAGAGAGAGGAAGAGAAAATTAATTTCAGCTAGAAGATGAATGAATACAGATGCAAGACCATAGCAGAAAATTTAAGTAAATAATCTGGGTAATCTAGGAACAGAATAACTTTCAAAAAGGTAAAATATTTTAAAGTGTCATGTGTTATTAGGATGACTAGTTAAATTAACAAACAAAGTGGCCCTCTGGGAAAATCCAATGTCTGACTGTAGATGTTTCATTTCAGGCACAAAATAAACAAAAAATAATGCAAGGCATTTACTACCTTTTTCTGTGGCATTTTCCATGCCTTTAGATGTCAAAATTTAATATGCGTTAGGAATGAACTGTGCTTCCTGCATTAGAATCATAGGCTCTCAAAGTTTGAACAAAAGCTTACTGGTCATCTAACTCAACCCTCCAATATTACTGTGGATCTTCACTCTCTTAAAATAATAAAATGCGAACCTACAAACTTAGTGTAATTTCAAACAAAACAAATTGAGAAGCATATGGACCAGAAATTTCTTTTCTTTCTTTCCTTTTTTTTTTTTTTTTTTTGCTGCTTTTTCAGAGGGTAGGGAGACAGGAAGGATTTTAACTCTATGGGAGCTTGTATAAGCCCTTTTAATGTGAACTTTCCTAGAATTAATAACCTTGGCACCAAGAGGGTTAAGTCTTTAAGGTATTACATTTTGCAATATTCTCTGATCCATATCCTTTAGCCATGGGCTTGGTGGCTTTCAAAGGTGACGGAGCAAAGCGAGTACAAAATAGCTAAAGGAAAGAGGAACAGAGAGTAGAAGATGGAGAGGGAGTCTCAGTCCTTTTATAGTGTCTTCAGGATTTCCTAACAAGATGCTTGGTCACCCAGGGGATGGTTGGCATCAGCTTTCTTAAGACAGGTGAATGGGGATGATGTTGTAAGGTCAAACTTTAGAAACAGTGAGCATTACATAAACTACCACCAATGCAACCGAGGGGAGGCTTCTAGGAAAGCAAACAATCCTTTAAAAGAAGATGAAGGAGGAGGAGAAGGAAAAGGAGATTTTTGGAGAGAAATGGAATTTTAATTCTAAGAATATACCTTATTTCCTGCTGAGTAGTGCTGTGAATTTATAAAAGAAGTAGAAACATCTTTTGAGTTCCGCTCGGACGATCTCCCAGGCACAGTGACTGTATTTCTTATCTTTCAGGAACTTGTCTATCCTGTTGAAATATCTCCTCAGTTCGAGGTTACTCAGCTGGGAGACCGTATCTCTGGAGTGTTTCCTCTCCTCCTCTTCCATCTCTTTCATGTCTTCATTTTCCTCCTCCTCTTCTTCCAAGCATTGTTCCAGGTACTGTAGCTGCTCATCGAGTCCGATCTGAACTTGTCTCAGGTGTTTCTCTTCCCAAGTGGATTGGAAGGTGTCTTGAGTGAAGATGTTGAAGGCCTGGATGGCCATTTCATAGAAGGCTTCCTTGATATCCCTCTTCAGAGGCTGGGCATCAGATAGGATCTCTAGGGGCAACTCAAAAGCTTTGCTTTCGCTTAGACATTCTGTAGGAAATGAGTTGCTCATCCTGCTCAGGAGTCTCAGGTTTTGCCAGATGACTTTCCTCTGGTAAACATTCAGCAGGGTACAGTCCAGAGAGAAGATGCCAGTGAAGAACAGACCCACAAGGCACGCTGGCCACAGACACTTTCGAGTCACATCAGGCATTTTTTTCCCCTGTCCCGAGCTGAAAAATCCACAAGACTCAACGTTGACGGTGATGTTTTAGGTCTTGCGTATTCTTCCATGTGCCTTTTATACACCTGAGGATCCTTAGTGGGGAGGAGTTTTCTCATTCATCATTTCATGGTTCTCAGGAATTCGGCCCCTTTCCTTTGCCTCTGAGGCTTTTTTGACTTCAGGTGACTACGCTGGCTTTGGAAATGTTACCTTGTTTTTTGTTTTTGAGAAAAGTGAGCAAAGCATTACCATTGCATTATCTTAGATGCCTGGATGATCCATCCCAGTACCACAGAATCGTGAGAACAAGATGATGCAGACTCTTTCAGAAAGAACTGAAAGCTGTGACTCTATACGCTTGCTCACTCATGCAACGCTATTACATAAGAGAGAGAGATCTTCCAAGAAAATATTTTTTTGTACCTGGCCCTATCACCAAACATCTTCTCTCATTGAGTTAATCATAAACATTGGCCAAATGACTATGATTATTTGATTGCAAGGCCACTAGAACATAACATAGCTTAGATTTTTTCCAATCTTGTTAAAATCAAACTCCTATATTTGGAAATTTTCTTTTTATTTGATTTTTGGGGTCTCCAAAAAGAGGAAAAACAGAGTTGGTCATTGAGCACAGCACTTATTACATAGAAGGCCAAGCAGCTTAGTTTTCTGTTGCCATTTAGAAAATGTTGAAACGCTCCAACTAGCCTTTCCTTTAGTTAAACCTGAACCAGCATTTAGCATCCCCGCCAAGCATTTTGTTTGCCGCTGTTCTCCTTCTTAGAAGTCCTCCAGGGGGTTGTATGTGGGGGAATATTTTTCTGTCTCACTGACCTCTCTTTTGTAGTATCATGCATTAAAAAAAAAACTTAGATATGGCTTAGGCAGTATTTTAAAACTTTTGCTTGGCTATCTTTCCTTCTTGCTTGGAGGTTCTGTGCATGGCTTTTTTTTTTTTAAAGATTTTTTTTTCCTGTTTTTAAAATTGAAGTATAGTTGGTTTAAAATGTTGTGTTAATTTCTAGTATACAGCGCAGTGATTCATTTATACAAATATGTATTCTTTTTCATATTCTTTTTCATTATAGGCCATTACAAGGTACTGAATATAGTTCCCTGTGCTATACAGTAGGACCTTTAAAAAATTTTTTTTAATTGAAGTGTAGTTGATTTACAGTGTTAGTTTCAGGTGTACAGCAAAGTGATTCACACACATATACATACATATATATTTTTCTTTTCGGATTATTTTCCATTATATGTTATTACAAAAAATTGAATATAGTTTCCTGTACTACACAGTAGGTTCTTATTGTTTATCTATTTTATATGCAGTAATATGTGCCTGTTAATCCCCAATCCCTTATTTATCTCTCCCTGCCCCTTTTCTTTTGATAACTATAGTCTATTTTCTATGTCCATGAGTCTGTTTTGGTTTGTAAATAGAATTCTTTTTTTGGATTCCACATGTAAGTGATATCATATAATATTTGTCTTTCTCTGACTTACTTCACTCAATATGATAATCTCTAGGTCCATTGATGCTGCAAGTGGCATTACTTCATTTTTCATGGCTGAGTAATATTTCATTGTATATATACAGTAGGGCCTTATTGGTTCCTGTTTGTTTTCCACTGAGGAGGTATATGATCAACTGTTCTAGCCAAGCTAATTCACACCTGGCCCAATATTACTGTGGTGGTGATGGCCATCCATCATTGATGGTTTTCACTCTGTTTGACCAAATAACTGTCTTCTGGTTATGGCCAAAGAAAAAGCATTTCTTTCTCCAGGAATGTGAAATGGGGTGTTATTAAACAAGGCTAGCTTAATTATCACCTTAAAAAATAAATGCATTAATTTTCAATAAAGTCATTTTGGAATGATGAACAACCACAGTTCCACAAACATGGTTGACTTTGGAAATTTGGCTTGAAATGTTCTTGTCTAAATCAGTTGGCTGCACCAAAGGCTAATTGTAGACAAGTGAGACCTCTTAAAATCCTGGCTTTTCAGACTGGTTCCCTATAAAAGAAAACTTACTACATATGTTACTCTATATGCTCTCTCTGTATGAATTCTGAATTCACAGAGATATTTTGTGGGATGACTAAGTTAGGAAAATAATTAGGAAAATGGGCCCTTTTATAAATTGACACAACCTTCCTGAGGAGAAGGATGGTGATACGTATCAATAACCTTAAAAATGTACATGATCTTTTGACTGAGCAGTGCTACTGCTAGGATTTTATCCCTGAGAAATAATGATGGATGTCTTTAAAGACTTAGCTGTCAGGAAGTTCATCTCAGTTAAAAGCTGAAAACAGTTTAAATGTTCAGCACTAAGTACTTGGTTAAGGAAACCATCAGTAGAAAACTTCTGTGCAAGCATTAAAAATTGTGTTGCTAGGGGGAGGATATAGCTCAGTAGTACAGCATGTGCAAGGTCCTGGGTTCAATCCCCAGTACCTCCGTTAAAATAAATAAATAAATAAATAAAAGCATAGAAAAACCTAGTTACCTCTCCCCCCCAAAATAGTTATGTTATGGGAATATATTTGGTTACTCGGATAGATACACTTAGTAGCTTAAAAACAAGCTTATGTGATAATATATAGAATCTGATACCATATTTGTTAAATATAAACATATGCGTACATGTACAGAAAAAAACCCAGAAGTATATATGCTATAAATATTGAGCTATATGCTATAAAAGTCTAACTGGAAAAATAATGGATGATTTTTATTTTTGTATTTTTACTTACCTCAATTTTTAAAGTTTTCTATAGGCAGCAAGTGTTTCTTACTTAATAAATCAAACTGTTTTCAAATGAAGTACATTAAATAAAAGAAGGAATATTATGCATCTACAGTAGGATCAATACTTCTTTATTTACTTAAACATTTCTGTTCTAGGGTACTTTAAAAGGAGATGTGAAATTTCCCCAAGATTCAGTTCTAATTCAGTTGATAAGAATAATACAGAGAATATGGGAGTTCAATGTACTATAATTGCAACTTTTCATTAAAAAAATATGTGTAGGTTTATACACACGCACAGACACACAGAGTCTGTAAAATGCAAAGCTCTTCTGAGGGGCAGGCCATCTTACGTACCTCAAACAACTCCTTATACCTAAGGCTTTTTGAATTGTCCCAGTCAGAACTGCTTGGTCCTCTTTTGGGCAATGCTTTGTCCTCCTTAATTTTGGCTTTTTAAAATAAATAGTTGCTGAAAGTGTTGATCTCCCAGTTTTGTATTCTCCCTAGCCACCCATGGTGCTTAGCATACCTCGCACTTATTTGAGATAGTTCAGTCATAATAAGCAAGCTAAGAGATGGTTCAATTGAACTCCTTTGTTAAAAGGTTCTGTCCATGGGTGATGGAGGTGGCTGGAGATCTGGCTGTTGTCAATCATCTTGAAGGTCCCTGTATTTTCTGCTATGAACATTTTGTCATTTTACCCTCCTCACCCCAAATTTCGTTTATTGTCATTCCATATTACACCCTCATTTATTCAAGACTGTGTTTTTAGCATCTACTGCATGCCGATCATGGGGCTAGGTCTTCAAGGAGAGATGTATGATCTCAAGGCATCCACAATTGGAGGAACAGTCATGTTCGTTCTGAGTATTGTAGGTGGCAGGAATAATTCATAGGTCTTCCCTATAGCATTCACCTCATTCCTCATGGGCTGTAAATGTTAATTGATGATAATGTTGACAGTATTCATGACAAAAAAGGAAAGATGATTGACATGCATGTCTTCCCCTCTTCCACCATTAGAATTGCTTGATTTAACAGATAAAAATACGGAACACCCATGCAATATTTCGGATGTACCTATATGAAAATATCATTCATTATTTATTTAATATTCAAATTTAACTGGGTGTCCCATATTTTATCTGGCAACCCTACCCACTGTGCTGTCAGAGCACAACTTAGACATGGAGTCCTCTATGGGAAGCATTTCCTCTGCTAGCTGTCCACCTTGTGCAGACATACATTCGATTGCATTTCTGTGTGCACACCTCCCTAATAAGTGTGCACACTTTGAAGGGGGCACCTGCTGTACGAAAACAAAATAGTACATACACACACACGTATTCTCTCACACATTATTGCTCTGGTCAGAAGCATTATTGGGTGATCAGTCATCGGTCATGCCTCTGTTCTGTAAAAGCCATGCCATCCAACTCTATCTCAAAGTACAATCAGAAAATTGAAAAGAATGACAGTGTAAGGAAATGTTTTTATCCCAGAATTTGTCTGTCACAACTGCCCAGTCCGTTACTCTGAGCTGTGCGTTCACGTGCTAACACTGTCCCCTGATACCTGCTCTTGTTTCTCTAGATGATTACTCTGTGGTCGGGCTTTCCTCCGAGGGAAAGCTGATGAGCAGGGGCTGCCCTGCTGTTGGTGGAACAGTGTGAAGTAAAGGTGGATTACGAGGCTGACAGTCATGGGCAAGACCCAGTTTTTTTTTACAAAATGGAGATGAGACATTTCAGTCTAGACGACATAGCTGTGATTCAGCTCACGGGCATTTGGCATCTGGTGGTAAGATTCATGGCTCTGTGTGAAAAAGCAGGTTTTGAGCCAGGGCGAGAGTCACATGTGGCTCATCCATGTTACTCAGGACATGGAAGTAAGCCATTCCATTTGCGGGCTCAGAAGGTGATGGAGCCCAGGAGGGAGCTCAGAGGTGGGAAGCCTTGTGTCCACGCCTGGCAGTGCTTTCCCTACGGCATGTGGACCACGGTCACCACAAAGTCGTGTGCAGCTCTGTTAGCCCAGACCAACGCTGAAGCTCCAACAGCTTGTCATTTCATTCATTCCCACTGCCTCCCGCCTTGGGGTCTGCCTCTCCCCTGGTCCTCTGGTCCCTTCCTTGGCTGTTCTTCTCCTAATGATGTACCCGATGTAGCGATTTAAGTGACAAGTCATACGTGGATATGTTCATATTATAACAATTTAA